GAGATCAAGCGCCAACACCCGCCCCGTGGCCTTGACGACCTGGTTCATCTGCCACGGCGCCAGCATCCGCTCCCAGAGACCCCAGAACCCGGCCAGGCGCATCGGGATCGGGCCGTGCGGGTTCGCCCTGTTGTCCTGCCCCAGCGCCAGCTCGCGGGCGAGTTCGTAGGTTTCTTCGTCTTCGCGCCAGGGCGGGGCGAAGCGGTTGCAGACGAGAGTGCGGGCGTACCGCTCTAGAGCGTCGAGAGCTACATCACACCCATCATCTGAAGATGTATGAGACAGTCGTCCATCGCCCGAGGATGAAGAGAAAAAGGGCTTCGGGACGGGCGTAGCCCACCGCGGCCACCGACCGACCTGTTCCCACGCAAAAGCAAAGACGATGCGCGTAAACGGGTCTGCGCGCGGGGGGTTCACGGGGACCTCATACGCGCCGGATCCGTCGCCGTTGTCGTCGCATCCCTTGCCGAGGCTCCGGCACCGGGCAAAGTCCTCCGAAAACACCTCGGGCCCGAATTCTCGGAGGTCGAACGGCGGGATGCCGTGCGCGTGGAGGATCGTCAGCAGGCCGGTGCCGTGGTCCGCTTGGCCGAGGACGGCGAGACATACGGCTGTTTCCCGGACGTGTTGGACGACTTTGCTCAGGGACGGTTCTTGTGCGATGGAGGTTGGGTCTGTTAGGTGGCGGAGGAAGAAGGCCATTGTTTTTGTTGGGGCGGCCCGGGCCTCTTCCCCTCCCTGCCGCTTGAGATGATGGTTTGGTACGAGGGTACGGGATTTATTGCTCTTAGCGGTGATTTAAGAGCTTCCTCATACATGACATCAGAGGAAGTGATAGGTATGATGACGGGTTACTTTAGAAACATGGTCGAGGCGGAGAAGTTGGCTTTGGGAGTGGTAAATTGGTGGCGGGGTTAGCGCTGATGGTGTATGCATGTCAGACGTGAGGGCCCTGAACATTCTCAACATGTCTGTTGATGCATGGCTTGAGCCTTGAGCCATGGTGATCGTTGTGGTGACTGATGCTCCCCTTGAAGATGGAATCTGGAGATGTAATTTAGAATGCAAAGATGAATAAAATCGCAGTAGAGATTGAGAGGCATAGATTCTGATATCGTTAATTACTGGGCGTTGAAAGGATATGGTATGGATGTCGCTCTGTGCACATACGCAGACAATGTCTCATAGAGCACCCTCCTCCCACCTGAGCCGAGACGCCGTTGTTATTGCTGCCACTACATTAGATTCTAGGTTGGTTCCAAGTAAAGAACTCAAGACGGAGAGCTCTCAATCAAATACAGCAAGGTCCTGAACAATAGTGTAAAAAGAAAGTTGCCTTATGTGGATGAGAGGACTCTTCAAGATGGTAATTTCCTCCCCGGCAGTTTCGAGCACGTCAAAGCGACTGAGGTCCAGGTGGTGAACGCTAGTAAATATGCTTAATCCACTCTAGGCAGACGAGTTTTAAGCACCAGAATCCCCCGCGAGCTGACAGTCTCTTGAAAAGTTGGCGTAGCCGGGAAATGAGCAGACATTAAAGGGGATTAGCACGTCGTTCCAAGCCCCCCAATGCCAAGCGTATTGTGATATTCTCGTAAGGCTGATTTTGGGAGAGGATCAACATTGAGCGAGGCAAAGTCGCAACTAACATGCGCGGAGCCTTTCCGCGGTCTTGCCTGGAACCGCTCATCTCTGCGGGAGCCCGGGTGGCGGTTGTTGTGGCTTTCAACCCTCTAGTTATCCTCGAGGCCCGGGAGTATTGTAAGCCGGCTGAGCTGCTGGTGCTGACGGCGCGGGACTCTCACGATTTACGCGATTGTCGAGAGGTCGCGATTGGTAGCATCGTGGCGGTGGCGCGCGGTTCCAGCAAGGGATGGGATCCTACGTTAGCAGTGGTCGGCCCCCAGCTCTGTGATTCGGCTGCCTAGCGCTAGCTCTGGTGATACTGACGCTTGCTTCTTAAATAAGTTGTGCGAATCTGTTTCGCGTGAGAAATCTATTCCATGGGTCTAAAGTCGTTTCACTTTCTAGTTCTCGGGAGCCTCATCGACATCACCTCATAGTGATACTCTTCTATCTATCGAGCGTTGATAACCGGACGATTGAATGCAGTCACCCGAGCAAAAGGCGTTGCTTGATACCAACCACACACGACGGTCCGGTGGAAGTTGGCGAGACGAAGCACACGAGATGGACCACTCCTACGGGCAGCAGACGGGAGGTTATAACGTCGACCCGGCAGGATCTGATGCGAGGACGGCACAGAATACGAACACGCATTACAGCCAGTCACAAGCCGTTGACGATTCGTACGTTGAGAATGGTCTTCACCCGGTGCCGGAGCCAGACAAGATCGTGGGCGCGCCATATTATCACCAGTATAACCAAGTACCCGGCAATGGCATAACTAGCCACCCTCAAGAACAAGCGGCATCGAAGAGGAGGGTATGCGGTATGAGTCTGGCGATGTTCGTTCTCTGGTGCATACTGGGATTCCTCCTTGCGCTGCTGGCTATCGTCGCGGGGGTATTTGGGAGCATGCTCGCAAGACAGAGCTCAGAAATTTTAGATCTCAAGAACGTGGCAGCAACAAAGTAAGTATCCCCCCCAAAACACCTCGATCACCACTGGCTGGGACTTTGATACTAACACCCATCACAGAATAACCGACCCCGACACCAACGGCACCTCAACGACAGCGGCACCCGCAGCGACGACGACGTGGGTGCAAGTAGTGGACTGGGAGTACATCGGCTGCTATGAGGACACCTCGAACCGCGTGTTCCCGGACAAGTTCACGCAGATTGACGACCAGACGAATCGGCTATGCGCGGGTGTGTGTTCTGGATACGAGTACTTTGGCACCGAGTTCGGGGACCAGTGCTACTGTTCGCGGACTCCACCGGGAACAGCTGCGCCGGCGTGGAATTGCAATATGCACTGCAACGGCTCGCAGACGTCTGAGATTTGTGGGGGGTTCTTCTTTTTGAGTGCTTGGAAGAAGAAGGTCTGAGGTTGAGGGCTGGATGTGAGGTCTTTGGAGGGGTCATTGGATGTGACGACGTGAATAGAGGTCTGCTTCAGCTTTCCTGAAATGGTTATGTGGATTGGAGTTTCTTGGGATGAACTGATTGAGATACCCCATGGTAACAGAATTGAAAGAGTATTTGTTTTGATTTATCAAGCTTTGTCTCGGCTTTCAGGAGGTTGCTCGAAGGGGATTTAGACGTAGGGCGGTCGATGCGTGGTTGTTATGTGGAAGTCTCAGACCGTGATACCCTCTCACCAAGACAGGCTACATATTGTCCAATCTGGCCTACATCCTCAACATCCAGCAATGGATTCAAAAACCATGGCCGGTTGGCCCAATGGCAAGGCGTCTGACTACGATTGAACATGTTATCAGGAGATTCTGGGTTCGACCCCCAGGCTGGTCATAATCTTTTGAAAATTCTGCATCCTGAATGCCGGGGTTGAAATTTTTGCGCGGGTTTGCGGGTCCGGCGCCCCCGCCGAGTCAGGGCTTGCTAGTCCGGGCCGGAAGTGGCCTTCAGCGCTCAGGCAGCGCCCAACAGTGTCAAACGGTAGGTAGTTACAAAAGCACAATTACTGTACCGAAAACTCGTGCTAAGAACATGCCACGGAAGTGATTTCTACATCTCGTTGTTTTGAGAGCATTAAAGTTGCCTTGTTGGGCGGCAAACCACACAATCCTCTGCCGGCCGCCGTGACTAACAATTTTGGCGCTCCGGCGTGGTGCCCCACTTCGCCGAAAAAAGTCTCAACTCCGACCAGATACGTACCTCTCGACGTCTCCCATCGGTCTCCCGCGACGGGTCATTTCCACTCCTCTTTTCATACACCCGCTCGGTGGGCAACGTCATGTCCTCCACCCCTGCACCGCCAGCGCCGGCATCAGTCTCAGAACTTCTGACGCTGATCATAACCACGTCGCCAACCCCGTCCGCGCCTTCGACAGAACTCTTGGATGCGGTCTTCAAATCTGTCCGCCTTCACTGCAGTGACTTGCTATCGTGCCGCATCATTGTTGTACTGGACACGTATGAGCGCATCGGAGACGTTCCAAGGTTGAAGAAGGGCCAGGTGACGGAAAAAGGCGCGGAGGAGTATGCAGAGTACAAAGACAACGTGAAGAAGCTCGTGCTGAGGGAATACGACCAACATGAGAGACCTGAAGAGTTGAGTCAAGAGCCAGGGGAAGCAGAATATGGCTACAACGGACGAGCGGCGACCGTAACGACAAATTCGGCCACATTCACCGTAAGCCAGACGAAAGACCTTCGCGTATCGTTCGTAGAGCCGTCAGAGAGGCTTGGGTTCGGTCTAGCGGTGCGGACGGCCTTGAGGATGACGAAAACGCCGTATGTCTGGGTCCATCAGCACGACTGGACGCTCGTATACGACATCCCCGTGGGCCCGGTACTGGATGTCATGAAGACGCAGGACGCAGATGAGGAGAGCCCGGTGAAATATGTCTGTCTTGCTTCGGTACGGATGTTGAAGTATGCCGAGACTGCTCATGCGCAAGAGTTCCCTCATCTTAGGACGTTGACGAACAAGCTGAAGAGGAGTTTCACGCCAGAGTCATATCCGGGGGCGGAGGTGCCGTTGACGCCAATGTTCTTTTGGCATGATAAGCCCCACATTGCAGCGACGGAGCACTATTTGACGCGTGTCTTTCCGACGCGGCTGGCGATACCTAGAGGGGCGTTTATCGAGGATACGATTGGACATCGGGCGCGGACGCAGATGAAGGAGCAGGGCATGTGGTCGCGGTGGGCTTGTTGGCTGTTTTATCCTGATGAAGGAAGGCAGTTGTGTCTCCGGCACTTGGATGGGAGGAAGTGGAGGGGCGCAGAGGGGGAGGTCACGATGAAAGAAGTCTGGAAGCAGGCCAACAAAGAGATGAAGACGGCAGATAATGAATGAATCTAACGGTTGCAACATACAGCCTTCGAACTCAAGTTTACCGGAGCACTTTACTCTGGAACAAGGTCGGTCGCAGTGTAGTATTGACCTTGACCTTCGTAATGCCACTCCTTCACCCAGCTATCACCTCCAGACGGACAATCAACTCCAGAGCCAGCGCCGTTGCAGGTAGCGTAGACGCCGACCAAAGAGCCGGTAAAAGGACCACTCTGGCCACTGACCAGTCTTGCTGAGAACGTACTAATGACGACCCGCTGATCGGATTGAGAAGCCTGAGACGCGGCCATCGTGCAGTGAGTGCTGTTGACTGTGGCGATCTGGAAGCGAATCGAGTCTTCTCCCCATGCTTCAGGTACCTTGACGATATTCTCCGCATGCGCATCTTCTCCTGTTGCCCTGAAGCGTAGCATGCGATCGTTTCCTCCGGAGCCGTCGGCCTTGGGGAGGATTACTACCCCGATATCAGCGTGGTTGAATTGCGTGAGAAACAAAGTAACGCCACTTTCTTGGTCAGCGTCAGTCAGCGGCGCATCAATGACGGCCTCAAAGGTAAAGAGAGAATCCGTCTGAGGTCGTCCGATGAATGATAGCCCCGAGCGACCATCCAGATCCGCATTATCGCCCGTGAGATTCGCGCGGCTAGGCACAATATGGAGTCCTCTCGAGCTATCAATCGAAAAGGCACCCTCGGTTGGAACCCTCCAGTGAATGAGATTCCGAGGAATACCGCTCAGTGTCGTAAAGTCGTACGCGTCGGGGTCCGAGTTGAATGGGCCATCTCCCGGGAGGTCTCTAGATGCCGCGGGCATTTGCCAACCCGACATTTTGCCTCTGACGGGCTCGAGTATCGGCCATTCACCTTCTCGCCAGGTGACTGGGTACAGGACTGTTTCGCGGCCCATGGGATAGATTCTCCATTCTGGCCCGGAACGAGTAGCTAGTGCGACACCCCACCAGTTTTCGTCCGAGTCTTGGAACAGATCTGCGTGGCCGATTGTCTGTTATCCATAGTTAGAGCTAGACAAAAATTGTGATACATGATATATGGCTTGCCTACCTGGAAATACTCATCGGTACCCTTATTGGTCAAGACCGGGTTGTACGGGCACGGCTGATACGGGCCCGTCAGACTGGAAGATCGAGCCATGACCTGGTAGTGCCCAGTCTCGGTCCCACCTTCGGCGGCAGAAATGTAGTACCAGCCGTCCTTGCGATAGAGGTGAGGACCTTCAGGCCATACGCCCCCGGTGCCAGCCCAGAGGAATGTGTTGTTGACGACTGTCCCCGCCTCGAGGTCGACGTCGAGGAGAACGTGGCCACCTCCCGGGATGTACATCTTTCCGTCGTCGTCCCAGAAAAGATCCAAGTCCCCGTTGGGGGTCAGGAATGTGTAAGGGTCACTCCAACTTTCTGCGTCAAACGGATTGCTCGTTTTGAAGACAGTTCCTAACATTCCGTCGGGCAGGCCGAGGTACTCGCACACCACCCAGAATTCGCCATCATGATACCGGATAGTTGCGGCGTAGAAGCCTTCTTGTTGTCCTTTGGGTTGATGTTAGTGAAGATTCATGAAGTTCAAGGGCCCATCTAATGAAGTCATCTGACATGCCTTTGGTTTGTTGAGTAACGTTGGGCATCTGGCTTTGTCGATTCCAAGCATGACTTATGAGCTTCCAGTTGATCAGGTCTTTGGAGGCGTATACTGGTAGACCAGGGAAAGTGATGAAACTTGAGGTGATGCAGTAGAAGGTGCCATCAACGTGGATACATGACGGATCGGAGTGCCAGCCGGGTAGGATTGGGTTGTAGAATGTTGAGTTATCAGCCGCTACTAGAGCTGCCCAAAAGCTGAGAGAAAGTCCTAGGACTAAACGGCCCAAGTGAGGGATCATTTGGAAAGAGTTGGAAGTTTACAAGACACTCGAGGCGATGAACAGGCGTATTGACAACTCAGACAAAGTGGGCGTGGTCTAGTTGTCGAACTATATACCCCATGAGAATTACTGTAGGTTTGCAAAAGACGAGGTCATATCACAGGTTGCCCAGCATTTTAGCAAGTGGCTTCACCATTCTGCCCTGCCGAACTTCACTCCCACTCTTATTGAGGTGCATAACGCAGCAACACAAACTTCGGCTAAATGATCTGCCTGTCAGATAGCACCATGATGCAAGGAACGATCGATTTGCTTCTGTGTGGGGAAGTTCTTCCCCGCAATCAGTCTCTCCTAAAAGCATGCAGCCCCTGATACCACTGAAAGTCGTCGTAGGAACGCGCAGAGCAAGACAGGGCAGGTCTAGTAACAATGATCAAGTAGCATGGAGCAAGGCTTTCATGATTGAATGATTGACCAATTGCAATAGATCGCTTAAGTAGATGGGAGCTGTTTAAGCTTACAAACAAGTCTGTTTTAGCCGATTCCCGAGCCAATAATGGAACAGTAGCGCAACGTGCTTGACAGGCGGCCCGCTCCGTTTGGCCCAGAGTGCCCATCTCATGCATCCGGCTAAATCAAGAAGCAATTTACCACGTTGTCGAATACCACGCTGGAACGGTGGCTCGCTAGTATTATATCATTGCCGAAAGCTACACAGTTGCACATGCACCCCGCATAGTTCATCGACTATATCCTTCCGATCTAATAATTGACTTGCGGTTGGATCTTCCTAAGAATACAAAGTCACATGTTTCTCCATGAATCATTGGGAAGCAGAGAACTGAGTCGCAAATCGGAGACAGCTTGGTATCAGATCATAAACGGCGAAAGTGGTGGCCAACCTGTTAACCTCGTCTTCATTCGGTATCTTGGCGTCTGATCCGGTAGCCGACTCTCCCGCTTCGCACGATCTCTGCACGATGTTAGCAATTGAGCGTCTAGAGAGGCTAATAGTTCTGCCTAAAGTTCAGATCGAAGTATCTTGAGGCTAGATGCAATGTCTGACCTTTAATCGGGAGCTAAGCAGCGCTGGATATATAGATCAATGGATTAATCCTTAGGAAAGACTATAGCCATCGAGATCCTTCACCCTCATGCCTTTCGTTCCTGGCCTTACAACACTCGAGAAAATCTCTTCGTCACCTTCAACTAGTCACTATGACGCTCCGTGTGTCTACTGTCTTCTCCCTCGCCCTTCTTGGCCTCAGCCAAGTCGGCCAGGCACTGGTCCCCCGCCAGGAAGCCACCTTTTCCAATCCGGTGATATGGGCCGACCTCGCCGACGATGAAGTCTTCCGAGTCGGAGACACGTACTACTACAGTGCTTCGACAATGCACTATTCTCCCGGCGCACCACTGCTTAGATCCTACGACCTCGTCAACTGGGAATTTGTCTCGCACTCGGTGCCTGAGCTTCCTGGTTCGAAGTTCTCGCTCAATGGTAGTGACAGTGCGGGCTACGTCAACGGCGTCTGGGCTTCTTCCCTGGGATATCGCGAAAGCAACGGTGTCTTTTACTGGTATGGCTGCATCCAAGGCACGGATGAGACGCACATCTACACTGCGTCCAGCCCAGAGGGGCCGTGGACTCATCACGACCCCATTCCAAAATGTTACTACGACCTCGGCCTGTTGATTGATACCGACGACACCATGTACATCGCCTACGGCGCCATCGACATTCGCCTTGCGCAGCTGTCCCCTGATGGCTTCACAGAGGTCCGCAATGAGGTATGTTGGCAAAATAGTCGTAGCTTTTCTGCAGACGCTGACTCTTACTAGCTTGTGTACACTGAAGATGCCCACAGGTACATCGAGGGCTCGAGGTTCTACCACATCAACGGAAATTACTACATCTGGGTCACCAAGCCTGGCGATGAACAGCACGTTTTGAAATCTACGTCGGGTCCCTGGGGTCCGTATGAAATTCGACAGGTGATTGCGCAGATGAAGGCACCCGTCGAGGGTGCAGGAGCGCCGCATCAGGGTGGTCTTGTATCGACTGAGGACGGTAGGTGGTATTACATGGCCTTCATTGACGTGTACCCCGGTGGCCGTGCTCCCGTTCTCGCCCCGGTCGAGTTTGACGCCGAGGGTTGGCCTTCCGTGGTCACAGATGCAAACGGTGGTTGGGGTGCCGAGTACGCGATGCCTGTCACAACCTCGAAAACAGTCCAGGGAGTTGGGTCCTATGTCGACAAGTTCGAGGGTGACGCTTTGAACCCCCGCTGGGAGTGGAATCACAACCCCGACAACGACGCCTGGAGCTTGGGTCCCGATGGCCTCACACTTCACACCGCAACGGTATGCGAGGGCTTGTACGGGGCCGCGAACACCCTCACCCAGCGCATCATCGGACCCAGAAGCCAGGCCACGTTTCGCCTTGATATTTCTGGGATGGTGGACGGAGACCAAGCAGGTGTAGCAGCGCTGCGTCAACTGAGCGCTTATGTCGGGATCCACAAGGTTGATGGCGCGTCTAAGCTTGTGTACGTCGATGAGATCAGCATGGTCGTGCGAGACTCCTTGACGGACTGGGTGACAACCTCGAACGGATATGTCAAGGCGGAAGGACCTACTATCTCCGGCGGCGATCTGTGGCTCCGTATCAAGGCCGACATTTCACCGCCCGTCGCCGGATCAAGCGCGTGGCCGAATGCTACGTTCTGGTTTAGCACCGACGGTGATAACTTTGAACAGCTTGGACCCGTGTATGAGCTGAACAATGAGTGGTTCTTCTTCATGGGTTATCGATTCAGCGTCTTTAACTGGGCAAAGACTCGTCTGGGTGGTAGCATCTTGGTTCGGGAGTTTGAGTTGGAGGTGTTGGAGTAAAAAGAAATCCTGAAACATCTTTCAAGTCTGACAGAGTTGTTCAGGGATAGTGTGGCGGCCTTGGGCGCATGTTAGTCCACAGGCTACGAAAACGGACGGAGTGGAGGTGTTCAATTCTACGCCACGATTATATGTGGTCATATTAAGTACAACTAGTTGAAAAACTTTCGAAAGATCTGGTAGTTACTGATAATGCGTAGCTGGCTTTGGTCAAATCCCGCTATCAACAGAAAAGGTCATCCTATGTATCTGTTCTCGACAGCGCACCTATCAACTGCCAGATTTGCATCGTGCAAAGAGCACAGTTCCAAACGGGAATGTGGTATTATCCTGCGCCTCTCATGTGCATCAACCCACTTCTTGGCATCTCACGAGTCACGCATATTATAGGGCTTGGCGACTTCGCGGAATTCCGAATTAATGCAATTCTAGACTCGGCCCTTTGTAGGATCTAGAACATAGTCTGACAGCTCCAGTTGCTATTGGTCTGATCGAAGCCGACTGAATAGCATTGCTTGGCATAACTCAGCACCCGTCTTCAGACTCAAGTTGCAGTCGCTTGTGCAGCGAGCGGCAGCCCACCACCAAATCGCCACAACACAGACTATGAGGTCAAAAGTTCCCACGACAGGTTGACAACCTTGATATAAGCACCCGACGCGGAAGACTTCTTCCAAAAGAACTAGGCAGTTCTCATATTTCGTAAGCCTTTGAAGGCAACACTAGCAATACTAATCGCGGATCTGCTTTAACGACCTGCTGTATCGGGTATGGTTGTGCCACTTTGAGAGGCACAGCTGCGCAAAAGGCCACCACATGCGCAATCCTTCGAAAAGCGCTTCTCCCAATCAGCAGAATCATTCCTGAACAACCATAAGTTCTTGAGACAAGATAGCGGTAAGATAACTCCAGTCTCAGCAAAACTGGGCGAAGCTGAGAATTGAATTGCATACGAGTATTGGCCAGAATGGGAAGCTCGCAAAGGTTCAAGGTGCCAAAGGCAAACGCAAATAGGCCGAAGCGATTTCTAGACTTGGTTTTACCCAATTGAGATGTAAGATAGTCGTAGATTCTAGGTTACCATTGAAACATAAATAGCCTCCATTCTGTTGTCATCGGTGCAGGAAATTGCAACTTCTCAACAACTCACAACCTCAAAGACATCCAACTACCTCTCTCCATCAATCAGTCAAATCACCAAAAGAACAAATCAAAATGAAGTTCTCTATCCTCACCTTCGCCACCCTCTTCGCCGCCCTTGCAGCCGCAGCTCCCGCTCCCGAGGCCGAGCTCGTCGCTAGACAGTGCTCATGCCACAAGATCGGCGATGAGTGGTTCTGCAGCGGCAGACTTTGCCCCAAGGACTTCATTCCTACGGCCGCCATGACCAAGAGAGACGTTGAGGTCCAGGCTCGCGGCTGCAGCTGCAAGCCTATTGGTAACGGCGAGTACTTCTGCATCGGAAGCTCTTGCCCTTAAGCAACTGGCCATACGAGCTTTTATTCAACTTCAAACCGTTGGAAAAATGGTAAGCGTTTCATTCCCGACAAATAGAAATATTTTGCCTAACTAGAGAAACCTAGGTCGTTGGTCATTCCTCCCGTCATTTCCGTTCCCATTGCGTCGGGGTAAAATTTGCCGCAGACGACGCGGATGCAGTTGCTGGATGTCGAATCTATTTTCCGTTGGGATGAACAATAAGAACAAACAAATCAATACGAAAACAATATTAAGGAAAGTTTTGCACGCGCCTGCAACCGATTGCTTCTTTCCCCTTCAATAAGTTTGAGACTACCTTGAGAGGTTTCTCTTTCCTACAATATGATACGTGACATTTGAGTACTGAGTGTGAAAATGGCAATTTGTCTATGTGACTACATTGTATCGAATGCCTTGGAACAACCTCAATCACCCAGTTGGTTGGTGATAGGAGTTTTCTCGGTCTTTGCTTGCTAGATGACGCGATGCCGAGAACGTGCTGATGCCGATTATGGCAATTACATGCGGCGAATGACAGCTGGGCAGAAGATGTGGGTTTTCTTCCGAAGCGCCTCGAACCCGAAGTTGCGTTACCTCGATATCGTAGCTAATACTTGGTGATGAATAATTGTATTTCTGAGATAGATCCGAGCTGTGACTTGGTTGACTTAGAGTCTCCAAGTTCTGACTATCACATAGGGTGGCAACCAATTGGCTGCAACTTGCAACTTGTGTGCTGCGAGAGACGAGCCGCTCACGTCAATGGAGGCATATTGCTTCCGTGCCTCGCCGAAGGCTCGCGTACGTTATCATGTGGAATTGGCGCCAGTAAGACTACAAGTCTGCCAATGTTCGGCTCGGCTCGACTCGTCGTCGGTACAAGCTTTTTCAGCCGCCGAGAAAAAAGTGATGCGGCGACCGGACAAAAGACGGACTTTCACGGCGGACATTTCAGCCACCGTCCACCGACCTAAAACCTCGCACCCCCGAAATCGCATGGTAACGGAAACATTGTTCGAAAGACTTATGGCATCTGGGGGTGGGTTACATAGCCACAAAACCCGACGCGTTGCTGTTAGCTATGACGCTTGTTTGCTTGATTCCAGAATGCGTATTACTTGGTGGTGTTGCACTGCGTCCAAAGTCTATGACGAAGATCCCGCGAGCTAAGACGTGCCAACCCGCACGGTCTCGAGCCGTGCCTGTTACCGTAGTAGTGTACTAAGTTTGCGTACTTTGTTTGCCAATCAATAACGATGGGTCCTCTTCCCTTATCTGTTTCAGATGTTGAAATCTCCCGAGCGGGCCAACTTTTTATAAATGTCCGGGGCGGTCCCGTTCCGGTCGGTGACAACGAAGGGGCCGGCATGGACACCGACTTTGATGTTTGCCATGCCGGCGTGGCATCATTGTGTTCAACAGAGAAGCTTTGGATAAATAGGTACGCGGCCCGCAAGTCTATCTAGCAATCTCTCGACCAAGCTTCTAGTAAACTCTCACGAAAAAGCTAACCTTAACCCCGAATACCCAACATGCCATCCAATGCAAAGCCATCAACTGCAGGCCGAACCCTGGCCATCTTCGGTGCAACCGGCCGGACCGGGAGCGAGACGCTGAAAGCCCTTCTCAACAAACCCACGAATCCCTTCTCTCACATAAAGATCTTTGTCCGTTCCCGCGAAAAGCTCATGAAAGCCTTTCCCCAATTCAAGACAGATAACAGCGTCGAAATCATCGAAGGCCAAGTCACCGACCAGGCTCGCGTCAAATCGTGTCTCATCGGCGCCGACACGATCATCTGCGCCCTGGGCGAGAACGACAACAAGCCAACTGTCAGCGTACTTCAGGATTCAACAACAACAATCGTCTCAGCACTGAGACAGCTCAAACAGGAGGGGGGAGCAGATTGGAAGAAGCCGTGGTTCATCCTCCTCTCCTCCGCGACATGGAACGAGCGATTCTCCGCAAGGCAGCCATGGCTCGTGAGATGGATGATCCAGAATGCATTTTACTGGCCCTACGCGGATCTGCGCAAGGCGCACGCAAATCTGCAGGCTGAACCGGAGCTGTTGTTACTGTTATTGGTGCAACCGCCCGCCATCATTGACGAAGAGGCAAGCGGGCACACCATCAGCACGGAATCAGTTGGCCTTGCGTGCTCGTATCCGGATCTCGGCGCGGCATTCGCAGAGCTGGCAAGCGAGGAGGCGTACAAGGAGACCAGTGCCGTTGGTGTCACTTCAGGAATGGCAAAAGCAGGCTTCTCGAGATATGGTCCCGAGATTCTCCCGAGGGTCATCTTTGGATTGATGGCTAGTTTCATTCCGGGTGCTTGGAGGGTTGTACCAAGTGTGTGAGGACCATCGGTTTATTTACAGGTAGCGTTATTAGATTACAATAGATATGACCCAGCTTTTCAGAACAATGCATGATTCTTTAATGCCTTTATATTCGACCACTACACTCGCTGGATAGTAAGCATGCCCTTGAGCAAAGACTGCATCATACCAGGTTTGGGCCCAGTACGCCTTGAAGTGGTGAGCGAGACAGCATCATTGTTGCGAAGAGCATCGTCTTGCTCTTCTTCCGATAGGGCCAAAGTCTCAAGTTCGCGTATCTTCCACACGCGGAGAAACCAGACTATGAGCAATTAGTCAAACGAAGCAGTTAGACAAATGGAAGCATTTGCGGCGACTTACTGGATATGAACGCCGCAACGTACATGAATCCCGTGAACAGCTGAACAGGGAAATACGCGTTCAGTCCGGAGCCCTTGATTGTCAGAGCTATGGGCTCGGCGAACGTTGCCGGGATAACGAGGATGATCCAGAAAATAGACAGAGCTGATGGAAGCAGCTGCATTCCGACCACCTCAGCACCTACCGGTGCGACTGTTGGCCACAGCACGCCGGCAAATGCGCCAAAGAGGGCAAAGACAATGAGGCCTGCAAAGTGTTTGGCGGCGAGGATCCAGAGCAAGAACGTGGCGAGGCCGGCGATGATGGTGCCCAGGCCAGCTACGTTAATGCGGCCAAAGCGGTCACTCACTAGGCCGATGACCGGGCGGCCAATGCCTTGTGATACTGAGAAGAATATTTAGCTTGACTTTGATTGGAATATGTCGGATGGGGAGAACTTACGGTTGAACATGGCCGACACGATAGACCCTTGGCTAGCACTGAACCCGACTGTTTGGGCATAGTCCGCCAGTGAGAACACGGAGATGACGTATCCAAAGAGTCCAAAGAAACCCCACGCGACAAACAACCAGAACTCGATCCTCTTAAAGATGTCCTTGTGAAACGCGACATGAACGCTGCCGAGAGCCTTGTTTCGGTCCTTCATCATCAGACAACACGCGCCATTGACAACGAACGACAAAATGGCAATGATTCGGAACGCCCAGGGCAGGCCGATGTTGCGGATCATGGCGTTGGAAGCAAGGGAGTAAATGAGACCCCCCAGGCCGGAGCCAGCCGTAGCGATGGAGTTTGCAAAGGAGCGGCGCGCGACGAACCATTGCGGGACAACACCGACGGTGGAGTTAAAGGTGAATCCCATGCCGACGCCGAAGCCGATGCCTTGGGAGAGTAGGAGGTGCCATATCTGGGTCGTGAATGATGCACCAATGAGAGCGGCCCTGGGAATTGAGTTAGGAACGTGGGTGGCGGAAATTCCGTCCGTCTCGGAAGACGTCGGGGGTTGAGAGGGGGTGAGCGGGCCGGCTTACGCTTGGATCACGACGCCGATGCCGAGAGTTGGTTGCGTGCCGATGCGAGGGATGCAGAAGGTGACAATCGGGGCGATGAGGAGTGCTGGTTGTGGCGAGTGAGTGAGATGACGCGGAGAAGTTTAGAGATTGGAGAGAAGGCTTACCGATGGAGAAGGACAGCCCGCCGACGAAAGCGAGTGAGATGGGGCTTGCGCCGGGAAACGCTCCGGAGTTGAGGTAGTAGGCGAGGAACACGGCATAAGTCTAGATTTAGGTGTGAGAATCATGCTTCCTAAAGTGAAAGGAAGGGCGCTTAAGGATAACTCACTGAGTTCAAGCCCCAGGTATGAGCATTGATGAGAAAGACACAGCCTACGACAACCCTGGTATCATGTCAGTGACTCAAGCCTCATCATGTTGTGATGGCTTTATGGAGCGCAACTCACCATCCATAGCCGCCCTCTTTGAACTCTACCTGCTCACTCGGCCGTTGACTGACAGGGCTCGCCGCCGCAGAGCCATTCTTCTCATTCTCCGCTGCCCTGGAAGCACTGTCAGGCATCCGTACCACGGCATCGTGGCTGTCCTGTTGACTGGAAGAATCAGAGTGAGAAGGCATACCGGGCCCCAGCGACAAGACGGAAAGGTGCAAGTTTCGTCGTGCTTGTCAAACTGAGAGATGGGAGTTTTGCGACAGGACAGCGGCAGGTTTCGGATAGGGAAGAGAGGAAAATACGCCAGCTGCCTCGGCAAGTAGTGACGGGTTTGATCGAGTTTCGCGGGGTTATTTAGTTCGCTTCTCGGTGGGTTTGTTCTGTTTCGATTGACTCACGTCCTCGGGGGTAATGTGGTTGACAAAGCTAACACCTGAATCATCAAGGTGATTTCACCAAAAGCCGTATAGAGTAAGACCCCGCGGGGATATGGCTGTTTGGCAAGCAGAGGGCTTCGGGAGGCAAGCAAATACTCTCTCGAGTTCTCCGAACCGAAGCGCGTGTTGGGCGTGTTTGAGTTTTTGCTGGCCGTTGGTCCCCGCCGGGAATAGGATGGGGTTGCCGCTGCTCGCTAAGCCATGAACGCATGAAGGGCGTAGCAGCGACAAGGACTCGAGGAGCACTGCAGCCAGAACACCTGGGGAAGCAAACAGGCGAGATTGACTCGTCAATTGACAGCTGCAAAGTCAGCGCTCTAGACCCGATGGAGGGTGGCGCCGGAGTCGGTGTCCGCGATGTGTAATGAAATCATCTCATTGGCGGCATCGCCCGGTTGAAGTTTGCCGGAGTGGATCCTATCCGTTCTCGGAAAGGTAAAATCCCAAGGGGAGAGAACATGAGCGATCTTCGGGTTCAAGGCCATGGGTTCGGGTGTAGTTTAGAATATCAATTCACTTATATTAAGCCTCTCCTTGCCTCCGTGAGTCTTCATCGGCGATGCCGCTGCTGTGTCTTGTGATTCCTAGAGACAAACAACTGAGATGGCGCGTGTGGCTTCGGCAATCTGGCTGACTATGGGGTAGAGCGCCGACAAACAGTTGCACAGCGTTTTTTCTGCGTGTTTTCATTAATCTTGGCCGCTCTTCAAGCGCCAACGTGGGGTCAAGAGACTTTCGTCTTTCCGTTGGTGCTTTCCCCCGTATCACCGGCCGCTCTCCGGGCTTTAGGCCTCCGCCGGGACCGACTTCCGGGCCGTGCCGTTCAAATCGAAAAGTCGGAAGATGATGCGGGTTCGGCGATAAGATAAGATCCCGACAATATGGTACTGAGGTACACTGCCTTGCATTGATCGGCTGTTGTACTTATGGTGAGTCGATGCTTTTACTGTCAGTGATGTGTAGGGTTTGCAGTCAACTGAAAGAAGAAGCCTTGATCAAACGAATTGTCGTCTTCAACTTGGGAACTTCATTGCAAGATTCGCTTCGTTTGTGATCCTAACTACAACGCTTCAAACAAGCCAACCCTTTGAAGTCGGGGCAGGTGCCGTAACAATTTCCTTCTTCGTCCTCAAAGCACATACTTGAACAAGGGCGACCTGTCTCCCAAGTTGAACAACTCCTCCTCAGTGTACTTCGTCTTCGCCTCCTCGGCAATGGCGGCCTTGCGTGCGTTGGCCGACTTGTAACTCCACTCGAGCAAGAGAGCCACAATCAATCCAGATCCACCAAAGGCCAAACTCAAGCCGAAGCCGGTAGGGTACTTCGGCTTCTCGCTCTCGAGGTACATGAAGCTGCCCACAATGCCACCGACGTTGCCGACGCAGTTCATCAGCGCGATACCAATTGCTCTTCGTGAGGCGGGGGCGATGTTGTTGGCGTTCCACGACGCGGCCGCGGCTTGGATGGGGTAGATGCCGACGACGGCGAGGACAACGGAGAAGTAGGCGACTCCTTTCTTCGCCTCGAGCGCTCCGTTTAGGGAGAGAATGATGGCGTACGCAACAGCGACGATGGCGAGAGGGATCGCCAAGAAGGGCATACGCCAGAAGAACCGATCAGAAATCTTGGCGAAGGTAATGGCCGAGATGGCGGCAGCGACGTAGGGCGGCGCAGAGAGAAGCTGGGCCTGCGTATTCGCGAATCCCATAGCCTTGGTGATGGTGGGCAGGGTGAACTTGATACCGTACGACAGAGCTGACTGGCACACCAAGAAGTACGCCTGGACGTAGATCCTCCAGTTGGTCAAGTTCATCTTGAGATCCCTCCAGTTGACCTTGCCGCCGGCGCCGGCCTCCTCGCGGCCACCGCCGCCCGACTTGATGAAGATGGAGAGCTCCAGGTATCGGATCTCCTCGGGCTCGAGCCAGCGCTTCGAGAGGGTCGGGGTGTCGATCAGGAAGAAGAAGCAGCAGACGCCCATGATGACGGTGGCGAGACCCTCGAGGATGAAGATCCAGCGCCAGCCTTCGAGGCCGGCGACACCGTCCATTTCGGCGATGGCGGCGGCGAGGAGACCGGAGAAGGCGCCCGACAAGGCGCTGGCGCAGTAAAAGTATGAGATTCGGACCGCAAGATCTTTGGGCTTGAGATGTTCGTTAGACTCATGCATCAAGAGGGCATTGCAGTCTGGATACTCACCATGTACCAGTAAGAAGTCAGGTAAATTGCACCGGGGAAGAATCCAGCCCTGTGGATGTCAGCCAGAGGACTCAAATGATCCCAAGGATTGCGAAACTTACTCAAAGACACCGAGAAGAATGCGGGTAACCATCAATCCACCAAAGTTGCGAACCAGTCCCGTGCAGGTCATGATGATACCCCAGCAGAGGGTAAGGGTGCCGAGGTAGAACGAAGGACGCTTGACTTTCTTGAGGATGATGTTGCTGGGAACTTCGAATAGGACATAGGGGATGAAGACTGGTGAAGACTGGTTAGCGAACTTCCTCTTCCCAGCTCGAAGGCTAAGGCGCTGATTCTTGCACTCACAGATAGATAGGACAGTGTTGTACTGCACACCAGTCATGCCTAGGTCCTCAACCATGCCTTCAATCTTGGCATTACCGATATTGGCGCGATCGATGTGGCAGATCAAGTACAGCAGAGCCAGCATGGGAATCAGACGAACGTCGACCTATTCTCGTCTATCAGTCGGTGTGATCGTGGTGGTTACGCGTTTTCAATTACCCACCTTACGGAAAGTCGTCTTCCGCTTCTCTTCGGGGTAGTTATTGAAGAAATCGGCATCTTCAGGGCTCAATCCATACACGCGATAGGGACCAACGTCGATGGCTTCAGGCACTTTTTCGAGATGAGCCTCTCCAGAAGGTCTGTGTTCAAAGACGGCATCGTTTTTCTCGATGGAGCTCCTGTGGGTGGCCATTTTGGCGGGAGTCTGTATTGTTTGGACGGTTCGAAGGGGGGAAAGAAACAGGAGCAAGGACGACAGACGCTCTGCAATTTGAGATGATGGAAAGGTTGCTTTTCCCAGCTCTGAACCTCTTCGTCTCAAGAGTTTTCACAGATGAAGATTTCTGCCCACGGATACTTATATCTGACCAGGACCGCCTCTTAATACAAAGGGGACAGATAAAGCCCACTGCGGAGAAAGGCTGGGATCATCCGGCTCTTACCCCAGACCCAAAAACCCACCCCAAAACACACACTAACCCCAGACTTGGCAGCCGCAGAGTGCGGGGAAATGGTGCCATTGCCAGTCGGAAATGTCGGACTGCAAGACGGATTCTTGATCAGATGCCAATACCTTATCCGTGTGGTCGTATCCGTCATGTCCGCAGGGGCCAACGTGCTGCTCTTGCCAGCGTTCGCCAGAGTCACATTGCAGGAGGCTGGTTCGAGCGCAGGTCGACGGTATTGGAGAGAGCTGGCTGGGATAGGTGGCAAGACATGGGCGAGACATGGCTTTGCCGTTGGTGGGATTTCGGCCGGGGGGTCCGTATTCCCTGTGCGTTCATTGGAATGATAGATTGCGCGACAGCCGCATGCGCGAAGTTGAAGAGAGCCGGTTGGCTTGATTGCTTTTCGTTGCATTTCCATCAAGACGGTGGGGAATCGCGTTGCTTACCGGTATGTGGGCTCCTTTGAGAGATGTGAGATTAAAGACGTGGGGACGGAAAAGCACCATTGCTTTCTTATTCGCCCATCATTTTGTTCTCTATCATAGCACCCAGTCCCCATCAGCTTTGTTGATGATTGTCACATATCCGTCTTGTTTCGAAGTGGATCCCGAGAGGATGTTCAAATCAGTCTCGACGTCCTCTAGATCAGCATTGTATCTGATGAAGCTCGCGATTATGCAGTGCTGCATTGACGAGAATGGTAGTCCCATAGTGGTTTACCAAGTGACAACATTATCGGGCAGATGCGAGGGCCATACCATTTGACCCTATCGTGGCCGCGCGTCAATGCTCATTTGGCACTTCATTAGCCGCTCATGTCTGCATTAGAGATCTCAATACTGTCTTGGGGGTTCTGGACCCAGGACTGCGGATTCCTGGAAGCTTAATGGCACTAACGCCGGAGTTAAGCTTCATCAATGTAGGCAACCTGAACCATCTACGTGTAAGAAACGAGCCTGGCTACCACTATCAGAAGGTTTGTGGAAGGCTATCATTGTGGTAGCTTGTATTCTTGGCCTTTTCCGACGCCAAGATGGCTAGCTTGACAACGGATTTTCATGTTCCCAATGGGACCTTTGTCCGGTTCTGACTCGGCGGTGATGGTGTGGCGAACAATTCAGAATTTGGATATGGCTTCAGCTACATTGCTCTTCGTAGACCGAATACCAAAAGCTGATGCCGACAGGATGTTGTGATGAGGTAAATTTAAAACTCTAGACACTAGAGGTCCAGGACGCGATTCTGAATATTTGTTCAAGTAATTAAGACGTAAAAAAGTATCCAAGACGAACCTTTCCATTACTTAACAACGAGTCACTTCAGAGGTGACGGCCAACGCCACTTTAGGTACTATTTGCGGAATTGCTGCGAAACTTTGGTAGCTGAGAAGACAACTGGGAGGCTGTAAGGTTCTCATTGCGTCGAATTGGACAAGAATCAGAGATCTAGAAGTTGTCACGGCTCATATTGGTTCATGTAACAGCTTCTCAACAGCCGCTTTCGTTCACGTGCATGTGGGTGTCTGCTACTTTCGACCGAGCAGCGTCTGGCAAGTTTCGAAGGGGCAGGTGAGACGTGACTACGGTAACATTGTCCTCGGCTCTGATCCGGGCAGTTTGTGTATGCAACTGTCTGATACTAATCCCTTGAGATGCTGAGTAATTCAGAACGTTTACACGTATTCAGGCTACCATTGAAAATGGCTGGAGTTGATAGGCCGAAGGGAGTTCTCCGGTTCGGAGTTACATGGCGTTCGAGTGCATCATCGGCGAATCTGGAATCCATCTCCACCCACTTGCAGACAAAACATAGCGCGATGCGGGTCTCTTATCACGTCGATCATGTATGGACCTAGAACATCCGTCTTGAACCTCATGATAAACACCATTCTCCGTCGGCCCTGTTATGCGTAAGAAGCACAGAAGTTTCCGGATCGCATCTCCATGCGAACTAATTTCTCGGACCGGGCCGTGGCTAGAAGGCGATATGCATGAATGTCGATGCATGACTGCAATGCCCACATTCCACCTTCCTTCGTCACGGTGGCTTCGAATATTTCGCCCAATCAGATTCTTGGCAGCAATCAACGATATATGCATGAATCCTCATCAAGCAGCTACGGAACGTAATTGCCTCCACATGTTGACGTTCAACTTGCCTCAAAGGCACATTGCATTCCAGAATTGCCGCTACCCGCTTGCCAAGAACTGTAGGAAAAGCCAAGTCAGATGGAAAAGCTTAGCATCGAAGCAATCGCCACGCAAGCTATACGTTGTCGATCCGTGTACGTAGCCAACCTATGTCGGTAACACCTTGAAGCAACCTGCGGAATCGACACCACCTCTAATGGAGATACCCAAACTCAACCCCATCAACCCTCACAACGCTCGCAACCCTTCCATACAAAAACTCGAGCGTGATGTCAAGCTTATCCGTCACCGGCGTATACTCCACCTCAAACACCTTCCAAATCCCCCACCCGCCCGCATCACCAGCATCCAGCGTCCTCCTCGGTTCGCCATTAAACTGGATCCCGATAAACCCCGCCGCCTGGTTATCAAAATACGACCAGAATCTCAGTCTGTATGGCACGCCGGGCTGCACGGAAAACACAGGCGTCGAAAGCCGCGCGCTGACGACGGGGTCCTGCGAGTTGCGATCATACAGCAGCCGCGACTCGAACGAGTGCGTTCCCGTGTGGGACGCTGCCGAGGTGACGCCGACGCGGGCGTTTTGGTCTAGGTTCTGGACGATCCAGGGGCCGATGCCGCATTCGAAGTCGCTGTTGGTCAGGAGGTTTGTGCCGGAGGGACTGCCGCACGGGGGCGTCGGGGAGGGAGTGCAGGTGGGGCCGCAGGCGCAGGCGGAGATGTAGCGGGATGCGGAGGTGCCGCAGGCGGAGGTTGCGCGGGTGGGGAAGTTTGTGGCGGTTGTACCGCCCGCTGTGAGGGTTGCGCAGAAGACGGAGGCGGAGGAGATTGCGGACGGGGAGGGGCATGGGAAGAGGGCGCGGTAGCAGCTTGATGGTGTTAGTTATCGTGATGGATGAGTGAAAGTTTGGAGGAGTACTTGTCTGCGTTGCATCGTGCGAGAGTCGTGGTTGCTGTGGTCCCGATGGCGAGCATTCCGAGGAAGATTGGGAGTAAAGTTGAGACAAACATCATGTTGGATGAGGTACTATGATTGAACGAGTTGGATAAGGTTGGTCAATAGAGCTGGAGAGACTCTGTGCTGGTTCTCAATCTGTCAACTCATAGCATGGTTTTATACATCTTCTGATTCATAGGAAGACTCTCCGTTCCCTGGGTATAGAAGACGTTTCCAAAGTCACTGTGTAAGTGGCTTGCCATGAAGTAAGATTTCCTAAAATCTCTCCGAACACGAGTTCAGCTCAATACAAGAGCACACTGAACGGCACACCATGCCGGATGGCTGCATCTCAGCCGTTGCCAGTTGACGAATGGGAGCTGTGAATGTTTCCGCCAACTTTCAGATAGCTATGAGATCATTGGCTGGGGTGAGTCGAGTCTCGAAGACTGAGACAACTTGACATATAAGCCGTTCAAAACCTGGAGTTGAAGGCGTGGAACGCAGGGATCACTTCGTATGACGGAGTTTGTTGTCAGTTGACAAAGGACCTCGCTTCCGCGTAGGTTGGTAATCTGTCTCAAGTCACGGGACACAGAAGGAATATGTCTTGAAGCTCGTGTAAATGATGACAAGAGGCTAACACTGAGATGAAGGGACTTCCGTGAAAGGTTCTCGTAAAGCTCGTCCCAAATCCGGGCTACGATGAAGCCTCCCAATAACTGCAGCGCGTCGAGATTGGAGCCAGACACTAATGTTTTTGCCGATGGTATCGGGCGGAATACCTTCATAAGTGTCTCGGAGACTACGACCCTAAAGCGTGACACAGAGAGCTCATGGACGATGGCATCTCGTGGCCCATGATCTCACTCCGTGTAGGACGAAAATAGGTAATTTGGTGTCAGACGCGCCAACGCTATCGACCTAGCCTCAAGGTGTTGAAAGATCGATACATGCGTTCCTCTTGCAAAGGAGTAAACTCCGAAAGACTGCTGACGTTAGCCCCAAAACCTCAGCACTTCAAGTAAGCCACTCTTACCATGCATGCTTTGTGTAATCCATATAATTATGAATGGGATCTAGTCCAGGCTTCTCGGGACAAGAATCCTGGCTCGCCGGACACCCAACAGTAGCAACCTTCGTCGCTGGCGTATCATCAATCAAATCCCCTTCTCCTTCACAATCGAAACCCTCAAACACATGAAAAAGCCCAAACCAGTGCCCGACCTCATGCGTCGCCGTCTTGCCCAAGTTATCCTCCGGGTCCCACGGCACCCCCGGCCCGCCGGGCATCGTGCCGACGCTGACGTGGCAGCCGTCGTAGGTATGCCACGAGGTGCCGTTGATGCCCGTGTTCCAGGGGTCCTCGACGGGGAAGCTGCAGATTCCCGTCGCGGAGTTGGGGTTGGTCATCATGCCTGTCTCGAAGTAGATGTTGAGGTCGTCGTAGGCGCCTCGGCGGAGTGTCTCTGCTTTTTCCTTGATGCGGGCTTGCGTTGTCCAGGCGTCGTTGACTGTGTGGGTAATTTCTTTGACGAGGAATTGGATATTGTGAGGGGCGAAGGTGTCGTTGAGAACTCTCATCTGTTTGACCCAAGATCAATCTCTGGACTTTGCTGCCTTGCACAAGGGTTGGATTTACGGCGCACCTGATCGC